TGTTGTTCTAGAACCTGAACATAGTTCTCTGCATTAATGGTGCCTTTCCAGACATGCAAGCTGCCCATGCCACAAGCGCTCATGTAACCCCATACCATCAGTGATGCAGGCTTCTGAACGGAGCGTTGATAACAACTTGGGCTATCCTTGTCCTCTCTGGTCCGGATGACATGGTGTCCCAGTGTTCCATAAAGAACTTCAAATCGTGACTCATCTGACCACAGAACAGTCTTCCATTTTGCCACACTCCATTTTAAATGGCCCCTGGCCCAGTGCAAACGTCTGAGCTTGTGGAGCTTGCTTAGAAATGGCTTCCTCTTTGCACTGTAGTTTCAGCTGGCAACGGCAGATGGCACGGTGGATTGTGTTCACTGACAATGCTTTCTGGAAGTATTCCTGAGCCCATTCTGTTATTTCCTTGACAGTGGCATTCCTGTTTGAGGTGCAGTGACGTTTAAGGGCCCGGAGATCACGAGCATCCAGTAGTTTTACGGCCTTGACCCTTACGCACAGCGATTGTTCCAGATTATCTGAATCTTTTGATGATGTTATGCACGGTTGATGATGATAACCTAAAAGTCTTTGCTATTTTACGCTGGGTAACACCATTCTGGTATTGCTGCACTATCTTTCTGTGCAACAATGGTGGAATTGGTGATCCTATTACCATCTTGGCTTCTGAGAGACACTGACACTCTGAGAAGCTCTTTTTATACCCAATCATGTTGTCAATCGACCTAATCAGTGTTAATTGGTCTTTATATGTTTATATGCTCAATTTCCTTTTTCCAGCCACTTATTGCTACTTGTCCCAACTTTTTAGGGATTTGTTGACACTGTGAAATTTTGAATCAACATACTTTTCCTTTAAAATGTTACATTTACTCAGACTAAACTTTTGATCTGTCCTCTATGTTATATTACGAATAAAATATTGACATTTGCCATCTCCACATCATTGCATTCAGTTTTTATTCACAATTTGTTTAGTGTCTCAACTTTTTTGGAATCCGGTTTGTAAATGAGTGCAAAGTGACTAACAGCAAGTCACTACTTGCAACGCCAGAAGTGCTCTTTATTTAAAACCACGCCATAAAACTTAACTCTGCCATGTGATATTTACAACAGAGAAATCCTGCTCTGACAAAGTCCTTCATTGTCACTTTTATTTAGCTTTATTGCAGCTGATATATGGTTATTGTCTGTCCCATTTTATGAGACACAATCCCACACTTATATGTACATACAAGAGTTTGGACCTCGGCTGGCAACATATGTGTCCAGGTCTTACCAAGATCCTCAATAACAGACTTTTACAGTGACTGTTGTGATTTTCAGCAGTAAGAAAAAAAAGATGATGCCAGTAAATCAAAGGAATGAGCGCTTAGGGCCACATCAAATGTCGTAATAATGACTCCTTCAGCTGCGAGATAAGCCTCTCAGTTGATAATCATTAACACATCACAGTCTACAGTCGCATAATATTGTCACCAAAAGCATCAACATAAAACAGCTCAGTACAAAAAAATATATATATTTGCTTTGTTTTCTCCAGTCCTCTCTGATGGTTTGCCCCATTTGGAGCAGGTAAAAGTGTCAAAACCTCTGATAAGAACTGATATTTATGCGTACAGCACGTCTGAATGGATTTAAGAGCTTCACAAAGAAAACATGACACTCGTTCAACAGTTTAACATCTGCATCTGTTTTTATGAGATCACGGCTCGAGGACGATGAACTGTACAGATTAATCTCTGAACGTGCTCATGTGGTGTCCCTAATTGTCCAACAATAGTTAAAACTTTAACCTTTGCACTCTTATTTCATTATCAGCTTCCTCTTAGGTGTGAGTTTGTACTAAATCAGGAACACTGCCAAGTAGGTGATGGTCCAAAGACAGTTTTCTGCACTGTTAATGTGAGGTTTTCAACTTTGCAAATGTCCATCTTTCATTTGTATTCAACAAAAATAAAAGGCTGAGTGGGCCTCCTTTGTCTCTTAGTGCCTTGGGTTTATGAATTGACCGTGACCGACCCATTACTTAGGACTGACCCCTTGGTGACTTCAGTGCTCACAGTGGAGAGCGGGACGCTCTCGTACCTATCTGCTGCCCTCCAGCAGCGACAGCGCAACATGGTGGACTTGAGCTGCTTCTGGAAGTTACTGTTGAGGAAGCCGTAGATGATAGGGTTAACACAGGTGGAGGTCATGGCTGTGAGATGGCAGAATGAGAAGATGATGTCGTGGCCACAGGATGGGATGGCCTCGTGGTTCCAGTCAAACACAGTGTTGAAGACGTTTAGAGGGAGCCAGGAGTTGGCAAATGCTACCACGATGGCGATTAGCATGACGTTGATCCTCGTGGAGCCCTTGTTCTTGTGTTGGGAAGCGTTCCTGCCACGCTCCACCATGTCCTTCCTCCTCCTCAGACGCAGGTAGATGTGCAGGTAGCAGACCATGATCAGGACGAGGGGGAGGAAGTACTGGAAGACGAGCAGGGAGGTGGTGTAAGCACGCCGCTTCTGAATAGACGGCCACATCTCCATACACACAAAGTGGTCGGTGACTGGGAGTGGGAGGCTCAGGTTCTGGAAAGGCAACACAAGCACGCTGTACTTGAGGAAAGGCATAGAGATTAGACACGCCATGATCCAGGTGACAGCAACTGCCAAATAGGACTGTCGTACCAAAGGCTTCCATCCAGTCGGGTGGACGATGAGCTGGTAGCGCTCCATGGCAATGAGGACGAGGGAGAAGATGGAGACAGTAACAGAAATGCACTGGATGAAGGGTGTGAACTTACACAGCGTCTCTCCAAGGATCCATCGGTCCATCAGCGTGTAGATGATTGTGACTGGCAGACAGATAATGCACATTAAGATGTCCGAGCAGGACAGGTTGACAATGAAGATGTTGGTAACGTTTTGCATCTCCTTGTGCCGCATGATGACAAACACCAGACAAGAGTTCCCAATGAGGCCCACAGCCATCACGGTGCTGTATGCAATGATGAGGAAGGTGGTGCCACTAACAGAGAGTGAGCAGTCTTCAGTGAACTCCCACGGTATCTCTTTCCACAAGGCTTGATTGTAATTGGTGTTGTGCTGCAGCTCCATGATGGCTTTTCTTGGCACACAGCCAGGAGACTAAATGAATTTACTTTGGCACACCTGCAGCAATTACTTCATTGATGATCTTTGCATCTTTTACTTTTCCATGATCCATAATCTTAGGTAGTGTTCATGGCAGTTTTCATTTGCATCCTAAAAAAAGAGCAATAAAAAGAGGTAAACTCTCAACAAAATGACTGTGCCACACAAGTGTGTATTATTTAAAGTCTTCCAATAAATGCACATATTCTTCAAGTTACAAGAATATTCACTTTAACTTGTTAAAAGATAAATAAATAATATAACTTTTTTTATATATAATAATGCATTTTCCTCACTTCTTTTAAGCAAGCATAACAAGTTCTGTTGCTACAATTAACAATTTAAAGGGTTGGGAGGGTTTTTTGTTTTTGCCCATAATGAATTGGGGCTCTGTCTAAAAGTCATGAGCAATAAAATCCTCATCATAATATTCACGTTGCATTTTCCTAGAAAATATATTTATTTCAACTGTCCATTACTTTTACACAAAACCCCACTTGAAAACGACCTAAAAATCCTTTTAATGTTGCTATGTGTTTGAATATTATGTGACAAGAGAATATTTGTTGTTTCTTAATAAATCTTCCTTTGTGCACTGCACAATAGGCACTGCAGTGGATTCAATATGTGAACGGCAGAAACATAGGAGGGAAAGATAGAGTGTTGTCATGCAGATATGTGATGGTCGTGAGGCAGATGTGATGCAGATATAAGACATATATGACGCAGATGTGAAACAAATATGGGGCAGATTTGCGGCAGATATGAGGAAGATATGAGGCTTGAAGTATGTTGAGTGTGGACTATAAGAATAACTGATGCATTGATGGAAGCTCATCAAGGAAACAACAAAGACCCAGATTGTTGCAGCACTGATAGAATAGCCTGCTGATTTATATTTCCATCACAATAATGTGTGATAATGACTGCCCTTTCGGAGACAATCATTTCCTCTCACTGTTTTCTTCTCTTTTGACAGAGGAAATTGATTCTGTTTCTGTCCATAAAGGCCACCGCTCGCTGTCACTGAACATTCCCAGCAGCTCCTTCCAACTGTATAAACTAATGTACCGGAAAACATTACAGAATTACAATGAATGAATGAGAGGATATTTTTATTTGCGCACATATTTCAGCATGAACCCGCCCTGATTAAGTGATACGGCTTGCCCTCGGCTCAGTTCCTCAGAAATTAGTTTTCCAACGCAGCTATACAAACAGTATGACATCTGTAGGCATGAAGGGATTCATCATGTTTAACAGAGGACTCTGTAACAATGAGAAATGTTGACAGGTGGGGCATTCATTGCTTGTGGCCGTCTCTGTTATGAGCTGTAATGACCTATTAGGATGTCTTGTTGGTCTCCGGTAATTAGCCAAGGGTTTTTGTAAACAACACTAAAAGAAAAGCTGCTGCAAAAGAAGTAGCACAAACTCCTTTGTGGATGAGATTCTTTCTTCTTGACCCTTAATGCAGCTGAATTTCTTCTTATGTGACTCGCACTTGTGCTACAGCCTTGATGCTGATTGTCTGTGGCAGGATTTGGACACTTCCAGTGATGCAGTGCTGTGTCTGCTGGCAGGAGCAGCAATGTTAGCGAGGAAATGTACTCAAAGCAGTCACTGAAATCTGACATGAGAGCTCATTCTGAAAGCAAAAATGATCCTGTATGTTTTGCATTTTGCAGACAAAGGATAAACAGTCTACATTTACTTAATGTGCATTTTTTTTTCCTTTAAATTTTGCAGTTGAAGACACAAAACTAGCACAATAAACAATAACAGGGCATTAAACAGGGGATGGATGTTGGTGTCTGCAGGTAGGGGACACACCTCCTGTCCGAGGGACACCCATTCTGTTCACCTCAGAACCGGAAGAATAGTCACCAACAAGCTGTTCTCCTTTAAATTCATTGTGTTTTAAGGAGAACTGAGGCAAATAAAGAAGAAAATAAAGTCCCAGCAGGAAAGAGCTATTGGTTTTAAAGTCTATAGAGATACTTAACTGAAATAATCGAGTCATTAGAGCTTGGCTGCGGCACATCACAAAATAACATTATTTTAAGCCTAACAGGCTCCGCAGTAAATTAGGTTTAATTAGCCTTTAGTGGAATTATCCGCCGTTTCTTACCGAACTCTCCTCATTCCGGGACTTCCGCCGCTGTTGCGCATCAGTTGCGCCACTTTTGGGGGTCGAGGATGAGCCGTGCGTGCGGGAGATGTCTCTTAAAGCCGCCGCCTCGCGCACCTCTCTCAGCCTGCTGCTGCTGCTGGGATGTGACTGGACTGGGAACATCTTACATAACGACGCGCGCGCAGGGACGCGCGGCCACGCGGATGCGCGCCAGCACGGGTGGTGAAGGTGGGTGATTGGGGCGGGTTGGGTGGGGTGGGGGTGTCAGTGATGAAGTTGAGTTATTTGAAATCTGCAGGCTGCGCATGGTCGGGTTCAGACATCTGGAGCTGAGAAATGTCTCAGTAAAGACATCAGAGAAATTATCCAAGGAACATTCAGAGACTTCACGAGCTCAGGTGGACTTTCATAAATCTCACAGGAGCAATCATCCAGGTAATAAGTTTATACACTGCAGGGAGTCAGAACCACTGAGCTGTATGAGAACTGATGGATGGATGGACGGACGGACGGACGGACGGACGGACGGACGGACGGACGGACGGACGGACGGACGGACGGACAGACAGACAGACAGACAGACAGACAGACAGACAGACAGATAGATGTCTGTCTGTCTGTCTGTCTGTCTGTCTGTCTGTCTGTCTGTCTGTCTGTCTGTCTGTCTGTCTGTCTGTCTGTCTGTCTGTCTGTCTGCA